AACCTGGCCTGGCTGGTGGGATGTTTTAGAGTCAGAACTAGGCATAAAACTCGATGGTTACGATTTAGTAAAAAATCAGAACAATGAACTGTCAGCCGAAGTGAATACAACAATATTGCCTTATGTCCTATCGGAACAGGATGCATCTATCATATTTATTGGGATGCGTGGTGTTGGCAAGAGCATTTTAGGTAAATTTGCTGCCAAGGCTCTAGGTCGCAAGTATGTGGATTGTGATCATTATTTTGAAACCACACTATCAACAACCATTCCGGAATTTACAAGTAAACATGGGTGGGAAGCTTTTCGCGCAAAAGAGTTTGAACTACTTACATCTTTGCTTAAAGATTGTTCTTCGGGATACATAATTTCCTGTGGTGGCGGCATTGTAGAAACACCTTCCTCACGCGATCTCCTAAAAAAATACATACGTGAGAAAGGAAAGGTTGTTCATATAGTAAGGAATATCAAAGAAGTTGTGAAATGTTTAGCTAAAGACACTATACGCCCAGTTTACGGTGAAGACCCTCACGATGTGTGGAAACGACGTGAAGGATGGTACAAAGAATGCTCAAATTACGAATACGTTTCCTTAACGGCTAAAGGCGATATTGATTTATCCGAATGGAAACATGATCTTGTCAGGTTTTTGAAATTCATTTCCGGACGAGACACCAATCAAGTCGATACGCAAAGTCAACAGAAAACGTTTTTTGTGTCGCTGACATTCCCAGACATCACACCTGCGTTGCATCATATAAACGAGATAACTTATGGTGTAGATGCCGTCGAACTTCGGGTAGATTTACTCTGTGATAATGATTCCCAGGCGTCCAATTACGTAAACGATATACCATCGATTGATTACATTTCACGACAGGTGGCATTAGTAAGACATTCATCGAAACTTCCTATCATATTCACCGTAAGATCAAAAGGACAGGGAGGAAGATTTCCAGATAACCAAGAGAAAGAGATGTTTTCACTTTTGAAACAAGCTGTTAAATGGGGTTGTGAATATATTGATTTAGAGATTGGTGGGCTTACTGATTTGATCTCAGATTTGGTTGAAAATAAAGGACATTCGAAGATTATCGCATCGTGGCATGATATATCGATAAAATGGGACAGCGAAGAAATTCAAGGAGTTTATAGAACGGCACATAAGTACGGGGATATAATTAAATTAGTTGGTAAAGCCAAAACTATTAATGATAATTTTAAATTGCAAGAATTCGTTCAATCTTTATCCGTGGAAAATCCAAAACCAATCATTGCTATTAACATGGGCGAAGAAGGACAACTATCACGGATATTGAATCAATTCCTAACACCAGTAACTCATCCATTATTGCCATCGAAAGCAGCACCTGGGCAGCTCTCAGTGCGTGAAATTAACCAAGCATTACATTTAATTGGGCAATTACCTAGTAAGAAATACTATATTTTCGGCACACCCGTTAGTTCATCGTTGTCACCAACAATCCACAATACGGGATTCAAAACGTTAGGATTACCTTATTTTTATGATATATTCGAATCGCAGGATGTGGAGGCGGTCAAACCCGTAATTGAGGATCCCGAATTTGGAGGAGC